AAGCCACAAGATGGAGAGAGTTAACATGTCCTAGGTGTTGCAGAAAAGAGTGATAGCTTTGCCCTCAGTGAGAAAGGACACAAGACCATTGTAGACACAGAGGTTTCTCTCAACAAACAACCTCAACTATAAACTGTAGCCTGTTTCTCCCTCCATAGCAGAGTGCCTGAGCCATGGCTACAGACAGCAATGGGCTATTTAGGGCCTAAAGACATAGACTGCATTCTGTACTCCACAATGTCTCCATCATCATTATTGTGGTACAAACAATCATCATTATTGTGATACCAGAGGAAGCACAGATTGTCCCAATGGTCCTCATGCGCCACAACGCAAGAGAAGATCTGTTGTTTGTTGGCAGCCACAGCTACTGGCTCCCTCCTAAATGACAGCAATTGACAGCAATACCCCTAGCAGGCTGTTGTTCATGTTTGGGCTCAAAACCATGGTGTTGGCCATTAGAGTCAAATACCAACCTTACTTGTTTGGGCTCATGAGGATGATACACAACAAAGAAAGGTTAGCCTTCCCTCTCAGGTTGAAGGCTGGAGCTACTTTAGCATGTCCATTCTTGAAGAGCTTATTCATAAAACACAAAGCAATTTCCCAGCAGGAGTTGCCAAAGAAAAATGGTCAATTTTAAAGGAAATTATAAGGGGTATAAGGTAAAGGATTATTACTGAAGAAATACCTGTTTAAAAACATTGATTTAAAGGTAGATTAAGAACATTATGTGCTACTTTAGTTAATGGTGTCTTAATAAACAAATTTTTATGCTAATCTCAATTAGGGCAAAAATGAACATTTGCACTTTGTTGCACTGCAGCCTGTGCTAATTTCAGTTCATTTAGCTAGTAATAGGTATTTTACTAAAAAACCTGTTTTAAACATATTTTATGCTTATGCCCGTCTACTCAGATTTGCGTCCTTAATGCTAGGGTTCAATGCTTGTTTTATTATTGCTGTGTATTTATGAAAATACAACTCATCTGTCATGATCAGGTCTAAATGAAACTGAACAAAACTATTCAAGGACTTTATGAAAACAATTGTTTCTGTAAAGAGTGTGTCTATTATAACGATATTTAGAAGAAAAAAATTGACAACCAATGAAAGCAACGGGTAGCATGCAGACATGGTTTGTGCAGTGACCATTGGTTCTGCATGATGCAGTCATGGGATAATCTGGTTTCCGCTTTGGTTGAAGCGCAGATGGCACTGGGAGGGGAAAATTGGGGACAGACATAGGGCCAGAGCGGATATTCACCCATAGATAAGCCCTACTGTACTACGCATGATGTCAAGCAGTCGGTCTGTGGATCCCAGTTAACACAGAAAAGAGGAGGAAGAAAAAACAAGATGTAAAATATTCCTGTCTTGTTTTGTATTTGCACCTGGATTGACATGCATGTCACAAAAGACCCATGGATATTTTTTTCCAAGTCTTTTACGAATGGGTTGGTAAACAGCTGTGAACTAACAAGCTATGCTTTCTTTCTTTCTTGGCTCCAATAAGTTACAGGCAGGCATGAAGAATATGAAGGCAGCTGCAGATAAAAACCTGCGCTCTAAATAATTACTCTGTTTCTGCAGTCCAATGTACTGAACCAGTTTGTAGACCTTGTCCCCCACATTCCCTCTTGCCTGCAGGGACAGCAACAGATTAGGCACTTAATGTTCTCTTTGTTTGCTACGATAACCTGGATGTTCTAAATGAAACATTGTCCAGAAGCTGTAAAACTTGAAGAATGGTCCATGACCATGTGACAATTTGACTGTAACACATCTGCCTATCAGGCTTTGCCTAAAAACACAAAAAAGAGAAATATAGAAGAGAACTGCTCATAAACACTGACAGACAGCGATAAAGACAGATGGAGACAGACAGAGAGACAGATAGAGGAGGGGATTAACTTCTCATCCAGTCTTTGCTGTTGCATGGATTGTAAGTAGCTCATTGCACAAAGCAGCCTGCATGTAACCCGTTCGTTTGCATGACTTGTTTCAGAAGGGTTTTGTGTGTTACAGAAATCACTGATCTCATACAGGCAGCTAAAAGCTTTGGGCCTAAAATAATCAAACTATAAAATCTGGCAGGCGGTGCTCTACTAAAGAATGCATTTGAAGCTATAAAAGGACACCAGCTTGACTTCCACTGAAACATTACTCTCTTTAATCCTGAATGTTGCAGAAGGTAATCGGGTGCAGCAACAATCTCATCAAGTATGCGCTTTTCATCTACCCTAATCATTATGTAGCCATGCAAGCAGTCTCATGAAGGTTCGCTAAAATCAGCATAAAGGAAAAAATAATCAAGCTATATAT